AAGTGGGAAGAGTTCAGCTGGGAGTTCCTCACTAAGCTCCGATGACTCTTTTGGGCATCCAAAAGGCTTGTGTGGGTTCTTGGAGTACTAGAAGTTAATTTGACTCCCTGTTAGGTTAATGAAGGCCAGCACACAAAAGCCCTCAACTGTCTGCTCATCACACATGATTTATTCTTAGTTCTGCCATATTTAGGACTGCAGTAGAGAGTCTCAGTGTTGTTGCTGCTAAAGACTGTCAGGCTTGTGATCCTGCTTCTTCTCTGAACTTCCAATTTTCCTTGGTCAACAGGGATGCTACAGAACTATGTATGCATTTTTAAGGTGTTGAGTGTGATTTAGCAGTCCCAAACAAGCTGGCTCGTGCTAAACTGCAAGCTTGCTTTATCAGCCTCCTAGCATACCCTTAGGTTAGAGTCATACCAGTGTTGTGATTGGAGAGCAGTCCACTGAAGTGGATATGAACTTGTTTCCCCCTGTGTAGGCTCTCAAAATACTCATGTGCTGTTTGTTTCAGGTTATGCCTTTCCAAAGGGACACAAACTGAAAAAGCAAGTGCTATTACCAGCTGTAAACATTGCCTTCTCCGCAGTTTGGCTGAAAATAAGTCATACCTCTAATGGCTTAACAAACAACAGTAGAAGGGAAAAATATTTTTCCTTTGTGTTTACTTTGTGCTTTTTACAGCTCTGAGTGCTGTCAGTGTTATTGTTTCCCCTTTATTGTCCAGTAATTTCCCCTCTTGTCCACGTGGGTCTTTCCCACAACAGAGGAGAGAAAAACAAGTACAAAAAGTAGGAAAACGCTATTGTAAAACCAAAGAAAGAGAGAGTCTGTCTGTGCTGTGGGCAGGTGGAAGGTCATAACTCGTTTTCACACATGAAGCAGAGATGAAGGTGATAAGGACTCTTTAAACTTTCCGGCATTAGCTTAACTCATGGAAAAAGCAGACTTTTTGGCTAAATTTCATACGGCCCCAGCAGCAGCCTTTTGTTGATGGCTTTTCTGTCTCCTAGGACCAGATTGCCAGCAGCTGTAAACAGCACTTTAGAGTTTAACACACAGATTTTCCAATGAGTTTAGCCTGTTGGCTGCAATGCTTATTTTGAAAATGCAGTTCAGATCAGTGCTGATAACTCAGAAACAGGTTCCAAAGTTACATCTATTTCTCCAGTGTCCCTGGGTGGGCCAACCTGGTTGTCAAGACTCTCTTGAGAAGTACTTGGAGCTATTTTTTGTGCTGTATAGAGGCCCATCAGTTAGCAGGCTGATGCTGAATGAAGCAAAACTTGGTTAGATTTTTTTGACTATGACAATCATGAAACAACAAGTCCTTGTTTCTCCTGCCTCTTGTGTCTCCATGAAATCTGTATTCAAATCTCCTTCCTTCCTTCCCCCTCTGCTTGGTCTCCATTGGGATCCCCTTCAATTCTTGGTGTCACGTAGAGATGGAGAGCTCTCCTAGTATGCTTCTTTCCACAGTTACTCCCCATCTGTCTTTGTTCTCTGTTTTTTTTCTGCTTGTGTCCAGGATCCTTCACATGCAGCTATTTCCCATACAGATGCCTAAAGCTTCTGGAACTAGTGTCCCAGGCTGCGAGGACTCTCCTGTGACTGCTCAGGCTGTCTTGGCCAAAGGCTTCTGGGCTCCCCATGAGGAAGACCTTGGAGGCTGCATTGGGGCATGCTTTCACTTTGGCTTCCACAGAGGAGTCCCTGAGCAACAGTGCATAGCACTCAGGGCAACTCCACAAAGTTGACAGCAAGGCTGAAGCTCCCTTATTTGCTACATGAGGCTTTGCAGAGGTTTTAGACAAGCACAGAAAGTCCTAGTGGGTTTGGCTCAAATAGCCAAATCTTCTCTTACAGGGTCTATCCAAGCACTTGCATTTTTCACCTACTCTTGTTGCTTGTATTCTTTGGCATTTGCAGATCAGGCTGTAAATAAGGTTTGACAGAATCTTAGTTTTTTCCACTGTGTGGTGTTTTTTTGTTTGTTCAGATTTTTTTTTTTTTTTTTTTTTTAAACAACCCCTCCTTCTCCCCCCAGTTTCTTAAAAGATCCTGAGACAGGGAAGAATGGATGTGGTGGAAGTATCCAGCATCATTTGGGATTGTATCTCGCTTTAGCTACTTCATTAATCCAATATTTTTGTCATGATGACACTTTTTCTCCTGGGTACTCTCCTGGAATTGCTCTACTTAGAGCAGGCAGCATTCCATCAAGACCAGCAGAAGCACATAGCTCAGTCAGGAACTGCAATGGCTGATACGTTTTGCCTTTTGTTAACTCAGTGGAGGTGAACAAGAAATTCTTTGTTGCTTTGCCTAGATTGGGCAACTAAAATTGTTTTTGTGAGGTGAGGAAAAGTCTTGCCCCTGTTCAGAAAAAGATGTCAACTTGAAGGAAGGAGAGAAAAAGATTTTTATAATTTCATGTATTCAGGCCTCCTCCAAGATAAAGATCTCATCTTATACCAACTTCTTAAAATGGTTGTTCATGCCCTGTTAGCTCTCCCCATTCAGGTGCTTGCCGTAGAACTGGAAGATCAGTGTTCTGCTGCAAAGACCTTGTTAATGCGCCTTTTTTTTTTTTTTTTTTAATTATTATGTTACCTTTGAGTCTGTTCCTTTTTGGGGATGGGGGGAGTAAAAAAAGGCTGTATTTCTACCCAGTGTCTTTTTTTCAAGTTTTCCAATGGCCATGAACACTTACTGCTAGCAACACACTCTCAATGTTCCCCTTCTTGAAATGCCTAAAGCAAAGGGTTTAGAGCAGAAGCAAGTGCTTGAATTTTTCACCTAGCATGAGTCCTCCTGCTAGGATGCTGCAATATTTTGCTTAGAAGGATCAGCTGTGTAAGCCTGCAGTCTATGCTTGATCTGCAACTGCTGCTGAGGTAAGCACCTAACTGACCAAAGCTATGAGGCTTGCAAGCAATGTATTGATGAAATCTCTACAGTGGGTTGAAAATTAAGCAGTCTAATTGCTAGCAGAACAGTCCCCCACAAAGTGGGAACTGTTTCTGTAGAAGGCATCACTTTTTTTACTTAAATGTTAGTCTATGCCTTGATAACAGTATACATGGAAAAAAATGTGTCCTTGAAATGGCCTTCCTGTGAAGAACATGGAGCAACTACCGTTTTAAACAGTTTAGGAAAGAAGCTTGTTAAGTATCTTGGGGCGTAGGTAAGTGAGAAGAGAAGACTATGTATGAGAAACATTCTTGTCCAATAACAAAATGAACACAGGCATGGTTTCTGGGCCTGATAGAAATAGGAAAGCAGGAACCTTTCAGAGCAAGAGCTACAACTAACTTCTAAAGGCCTGCAAGAAATGGGCTAAGGTCTACAGACTCTTAGGTGATATTAAGAGTGAAGTTGCACATGAACATTTCATTTATAAAGTATTAAAAAGCTTATCTCAACACATCCATCAACAGCCTGGATCATAACCAAATTTCTCAATTGAAATTCTGTACCACATCATTTTCATTGTGTGCAAGCCATATGCTGTAACGGTAGCTGTGCGGTCAGCCTGCTGTGACCCGTCACCTGACCCACCACAGGAAATAAAGACCATATTTTTGCTAATGCTTGTTTTTTGCCCACAGCAGTAATAGTAAAGGATGTTTCTGGCCCTCATCCTAGCTTGAAAATCGGTGCTCTCTGCAGTACTTATTGCTCTTGAGTTTAAAACAGTAAGAGCATGTTTTTTTTTTTTTTTTTTTTTCCCTCTCCCTAGATTTACCATCATTACTAGTTGTGTTGGAAAACAAAGGAAACTTGCAGGATTCAAGATGCAAACCTGAGGAGATGTTATGTAGTCACAGTGCAGATTACAGTCAAATTACCACAGAGGAGTGTGGCTGTCAGTTTTGGTTAGGGAAGTCTATGAAATTACTCTCTGATCTTGAAGGCTTATAACTTCATGAAAGGTGTAATAACTTGAATTTTGTAGGAAATCTTATGATTGGGTTGCTTTAATTCAGAGTGGGTGCTCCACAAACACACCTATTTTTGTGGGGACATGGGGTAAAAAGACCAATACATGTATGCCAATTTGGAATGCACCTTTCAGGTTTGAGCATTGTGCTGTTTTGTTCTCTTTTTCTCTCTTTTTTTCCAGATGAGGGCTGTGCTCCTTAAGTAACTTAATGCTTCTGAGAAATGCCACTTCAAACCTGCTTCTCAGGTGGTAGATCCTACATTAGCAAACTGCTAATTGGGATGTTTGCTCTTCAGTACATTTAGTCTTAACATGTACAGGTTGCTTACCAGAGAAAAACATATCATGTACACATATACACACACACACTTAAAACTAAGGTGTTTATTACATGCTAATTTTACCATAATAAGTGCTGGCAGAGATGACACCTCTCCATTGTGGTGTAACCAGACAAACGCATAGTGTCTTGGAATTCCTTCAGTCTCAGCCATGTGCTGCCTATTTGAAGGATCCCCAGTCTGGGAACTGCTTTCATTGTATTGAACACCAATATGCTCACTGCAGCAATGTAAACATGGCCAAAATTCAAAACCCCAGGTGTGCAAAGAATTTCAGCACAGAGGACTTTGTGAAAGGTTTTTGTTTGAGATTTAATCAACATACACACCTACTTCTTCCTTAAAAGATCATTACAAGCCTCTGGAAAAGGAGTGTTATTGAACAAACTTAGATGCTTGGCTTCTGTCCTCACTATTGTTGTTGCTGGCAGACATACCAAAATGATGCAGTATATCTAAAGGAGGCCAAATATATCCTCACTGGCATGTAGAGGAAGTTTCCACAAAAGTCATACAAAAGAAAACACTGAGCGCAGAGATCCATTCTGCTGTGTCTGTGCAATGTTCATCCAAATGGCTTACTCGTGAGAAAATAAATAGTGCTTTATAACACCTTTCAGCTAAGAAAACAGGGCAATGGTTGAATTTAAAAGTACGAGGTACAGGAAAACTCATTGCCAAATATGGTCTGTGACAGTCCATCCACACTTGCTGTATTACAGTTTTCATCTTAATTTTTCTGTGCTTCAAGGTCAGCAATCAGCTATCCTGTAACCAAAAGAAAATAAACACTTACATGCTAGCAAAGATGGTCAATAAAAGCATGAGGCTTTAGAAGTATAAACTTTATGGGTGACAGCAACAGAAATCAGACCAACATCCTGCCCTAGCCTGGACTTGTATATTTATCAGAATGCTAGTTCTTGTGAATCTAACATGGAGCCCTGAACTGTGCATTGCAAGGGTAAGCAGCACAGAATTTGGTAAGATATCCACCAGGGTATTTTAATATTTTCAAAAAAGAGAAGTGCCCAACTCCTAAAAGCACATACTGACACCAAGAGCCAAACCCCCAGTGACAGTGTTACAGTAAATGCACACTACAGTGTAGAAAATAGGTACCTACGGATGATTTGGCATTCTTCTGAAAGTAATTCTTGTGCAAGAAGCAATGGCAAATTTGAATGAAAAAGCATCCGGAAATTCATAAAATAAACCTTATGAAACCTCAGACTCTAGCAGATTTTAAACTGTTTTGGCTGCTTCTGCAACTCACCTCAGATTCTTGTCTTTCTGGGAGGGTTTCTATTCCATTGTGATCCTGTATATGTTGTGGGGCCTCAGCTTCTAGGTCTACATCAGCCTGCATGTTGGGCTTTTCATTCTCCCATTTTGCAAAGCCTTTGCTCTTCCCAGCTTTGCCATGGAATTTGGACTTCATTTTGGGGAAAGTATGGGAACCTGAATCATTCCAGCCTGGCTCATGCCAGAGTGGTTCTGTCTGTGTTGCTTGGCTGGTGGTTGCCCTCTGCAGCCGCACTGAAATTTTCCGCGAAGAGCCAGTGACAAGGGTGATAGCTCTGCCATCAAGGTCCTGGTGTTCTGCAGCAACACTGGGAAATTCAAATACTTCATCTTGGACTGAAAGAGAGGGTGGAATTGTTTCAAATATTCTACTTCAAGATCTTTACAAAAAGAAAACTTATGCCCAAGGAGGGTAACCCCCTATATGAAGCAGTGATATAATTAGCAATATCCATATGCTGCTTGGAAACTGATTCTGGCCTTGTGTGTGCACATTTCCCTCTCCCTCCATCTGCATGCTCAGGGCATAAGGCAGAACTAAAATTGTGCCCTGTGTCTCCCAGCCCTTGCCCCTAAGCGGCTTATAATGAAAAGTACAATTTCCCTAATTATAATTTTATTTCTTTTCAGCTGAGATAGAAGTGCCAGTATAGAGGATAGGGAGCCTCAGGCGGAGACTAAGGCCATCACTGCAGAAAGGCATGTTGTAATCTGAGCACTGAACACAAACCACAGTGCAGTGGAAAGTACATGTGCTGCTCTGTGCATTGATAAAAAGGAAAAATTAAAAATGGCAGTAAGGACACTGGCCATTAGAGAGGATTCCAGAAATGGTTTAAAATAGGAACAAAAGTGCTCTCACCTGGAGGCAGAGAGGGACTGCTAGGCAGAGAGCCATGGTTGCTGCCTACTGAGGTCCCTCTGGAAAATTTCCTGCATGCCAGCACAAGCAGGTCTCTGCATTGCTTGTGACAGTTGGCACCACAATCTGTAAAGAAAGGAATTGTTAAGTCACCAAATGGAAAGCCACAGCTATCTGCTAATCCCTCAGGATTATTAGCAGACAGATACCAAGAGGGACTTTGAAGGAACAAGTACTTTGACAAAAGGTGTGAAGGGAGTTACAGAAATGGATCATTTGGTGTGAAGGGCATTACAAAAAATGGATCATTTCCATGGCAGCCATTAATAGAAATCTGGCAGCAGAAGGGAAGAGGGGGAATGATAGTTTCATCAGAAATTAGTCTCAAGGAAGAGACCTGGAATTAGTGGTATGATCCTGTGTATGCCATGCATAAAGCTTCTGCTCCACTGCCTGAGTCTCCAAAAAAAGTTTGGGTTGTGTTTGTTTTTTTTTTATTTGACCCAGCTGAGCCCATTGTAGTAAACACACTGGAGCATCCATACTCTGAGCTTCTGGAAGGACAGCTGGAGGTCAGTGTAGACCACTGTAGGTTAAAACTAGTCTAAGTAGCTCAGCAAGCAACATCAGCATAGAGTAAGCTCTGTGGACATGTATCATCCACCTGGATGAAACTGGCTGAGAGCCTGCACACCTAGCCTCTGCTGGGCTTTGCATCACTAGATACCTTTATCTGAAGTGTGACTGCAGTACAGATCTTATCTGCCAGAAAGGGCCAAAGGGTGGAGGGTGTGTGCCTCAAACTCAGCTCTCTCTCCTCTGTGTCCCTTGCCCTTGTTTGAAAATTTCCATCTCCCTTGTTTCTCTGTTGCTGCTCCATTACCTATCATTTTGTTCTAGGTGAGCCATTGTCAAACATTGTGTTCATAAGTCTCTGCTAAAAGAACCATTCTGCTCAGGGCAGCAGCTCTAGCATGATGGGTGAGAGTTCTGGTCTCTCCCATCACCTTGTTCATACACTAACACAGAAGTACCTGCCCAGCTGTGGTTTTGTCTGCCCTAAAGGTAATTTCTGCCCCTTCCGCCCCCCCAATACAATAAAGATCTCTCTTGGCAGTGGAGAACCTCTTTCATCACTTGTAGACCACACAGTCTAGCTTCACCTCATTATACACAGTGCTGGGTTAAGCAGCAGACCTGAACAGATTAACTCCCTCCCTCCCTCTGCTGGCAGTGTCAGAGATTCAAAACAGAAGATAGCTCTGTGCTCAAAGGCAGAAATCATCCATAACAGGTGCAGCACTCTAGTGATGCTGGCATATGGAGCAGCTGGTAGCTGCTGCAACAAAGGGCAGGCACTAATTACACTCGTTGACCACTTTAAGATCTGAGTGAGCAGCTCTGCTCTCTTACCGTCATGCTCCATTGCCTGTGATTTTGACTCTACAGAACCACTTTTGCTCTTTCTCCACTGGGCCACTGTTACAAGCAATGATGTAGGAGAGAGCTCAGCTTTCAGATCTCAGATTGAGTTTACAGGGCTGCTGTGACAAAACCCTGTCTTCCTTCCCTCATCCTACCAGAAAAAGTATAGACCACAACTAGCCCTTCTGTAGCTGCTCAAATGACAGTAATCAGGAATAGCTGAATTACATACTATGGTTTATTCATGGACATTTTCCCCACCCGTCTCTAAGGAAGAGATGTTCATGGGTGCAGACGGAGGCAGGAATAAGGTGTATCCTAAAAAACAATACTGCCAATTCTTCACCCTTCTCCTGGGAGCCAGTATAAGACTAAGGGAGAAGAGTGCATATAAACAGAACTATGAAGCCCCAGCATGAATGTTCCCCTGTGAATAACTGGGATGTAACTACAACTGTGCAAATCATCAGTGCCCTTCAGCCAGAGCTGAGCTGCTGAAGAAATAAATAGGTCCAGGACTTTAAAGCCAATGAGGACCACTACAATGTCATTCTTGGTCTGACCTGCTCAATATGGTATAAGTACTGCATAAGAAATTAAACATTTTATGAAAGCAACAGAGGGGGCTGTAAGAGGTCTAGTATTTTTTTTAAGTTGAATGTCTGGAGAAGATCTTGAAATGAGATCTGCTGGGCAGTCTAGGAATTAAGTATTTCTCTATTTCTAGCTCAGCCACTATTGCTTTGCAAGGCCAGTTAGGCTTCACTACAGACATGCAGACAGCATTGCCAGCAGACCTTTTCCTGACCCCAAGTTTCAGAAGATATATTTCAGGACATCTTGGTGTTAGGATGAGGACACTTAGTTTTCCAAGATGCAAGGTCTTTGCTAGTAGAAAGTGACACCTCACGGAGTCAGTGGCTGCTTTGGACCTTTAGCTCACAGAACTTGTGTGTTCCTACTGAGTGCTATATCCCCTAATGCAGTGAGACTTCATAGCATACCAGCACTCGCTGTTCATGGACAGTACCAAGTATAGAAGCAAAATTTACATGAACAGATGCCATTTTAGTAAAAAATACAGTTGACCTACTTGTGCTAAACCCCACCACCTATAGCTTGAATAATCCATGCAATGTTTATTTACCTTTGCATTTGTAGCCTTGTTTGATTATACCCCAGAGCTGCAAAGAAAGACAAAAGAACGTCAAGGAATCAGAAAAGAAAGCCGGAAGGAAAACAAGGTCACAATGAGGAAGTACCAATGGCTACAAAAGCACAAACAGGATACAACTGCTCTTAACACCCTTCCTGTTAGGCAGACTTCCCCCTCTAATTGTGATAAGACTTGCATGGCTTCCCCCTTTTTTCTACTACTTACAGTGGGATGACCAGAGAAGAGGAGACACAGATGACATTTGCTTCCAGGAACGGGTGAAGAATTGCCATCATATCAAGCTTACTGAAACCAGCAGAGCACATTCTGCTTCTAGGCTCACTTAATGTTATCTGCAGGGGAATTTCCAGTGTGCATCCATTCTCCACATACTTGAATCACCCATGCCATTCAAACACAGCAGAAGAAAACACCACTGGGGATAAAAATTAGGTTCTTGCTTCCCATACTGGGCCCTAGCACACTTAGCCACAGCAATCTGTTTTGTCCACTTCTTTCCATTAAAAAAAAGGTTGAAGACTGGAAGGGGGAGAAAAGCCACTAAATTCCATCTTTGCCTCCTCCCAGAAGCTGTTCTTGGTGATGCATATGACAACCAAATGTTAAACTTCCAGAAGGCAGTGTGTGTGGTCCCACTTTTGGGAAGCTTTCCCTGCAACATGAGCAGGATTGCTTGGAAGTAGGAAAATTCCCTAGCAAATTGTTATCTATACACTCAGAAGCACTGTATCTACAGCCATGGCGTTATAAAAACAAGCATTTTCACTCTGAGAGGCAGAGAGAGGAAGGGAAAGTTTTTCTAGCTCCAGCATTAAAGTAAAAAAATCTGGGACTCCGGTGTTTATTTATCCTGAACTCATTCAAAACATGACCAGGGAGGGTGAGCGTGGCTCCTCACCATATTTATAAGAATCCATGCACAGTGTGCAAGGGGTGAATATGGTCATTAAAGAAATGTTCAAAAGGAAGAGCTGGACAACATTCAGCATGCAAAAGAAAGACTAAAATAAACAGAATAAGAAGATTCTGGGGGGAAAATCCTATACACAGCACAAAAGAATTTGCAAGGAAAAATGAGGGCTTGGAGAAAGCAAAATAGATTAGACAAGGTGGAAGAACAGTGAATAAAAAAACAGAAGGGACAACAGTGGAAGAAGGGTCCACAAAAAGCCTGCTGCTTGCTCTTTTCCTGCTAATGCTGTATATATATATGCACAGCAAATGCAGCTGCTGTGGTCAAGCAGTGACAGTGGAGCCCTCCAGCCCCCCCTTGGAAGAGCAGCAATGACTTTTTTTCTAAGGTCTCTTTGACAGGATCACTGTAAGAGACATAGATTGTTATATCTTTCATTTAAGCTCTAATCTGTTCCCACTGCAGAGCTTTTGCCTCACCTTCTTAGCTCTGTACCTTCTTCCTACTCAAATTTGGCATCACTGTTGTGGTTACACACAGCCATGAAAGCTTAGCTGAAGTGCCATGTCATGAATTCTCACCTAAAGCTTTGAATGTGTCTAACACAGCTTTGCTGCAAAGCTGGCTTGAGCCAGCTCCAAGTTAAGACAATCTGTGCAAATTCAGATTATAAAGCTCAGCAGGATGGCTGGTCACCTACCCTCCTGCACCTACGTGGTGCAACTCAAGCTATGGGATGGAACTGTAACTGGCCATGGGCATGTAAATTTCATGCTGCTTAATGGCATTAGGTTTTAGCTTGACCTTCAAAGTTCGTATTGTTTTAATAATGGATATTTTATTGAATACTGCGTGCATTGCACTGTCATGTCAATTCATCCTGCTGCACTGTCAATGCACATTATTTTGACTGTGAAGCAGTGCATCAGTTTGAAATTAGGTTTCCACCCGTGGATGAGCAGCACTGAAATGCAGAACAAATACACAGCAGATTTTGTAATTGGTTCCTGTCCTATCAGCCCAACTCATCCACAGGACAATGCCAATGACTTCAGTGAGCTGACAGGAAAAATGACCTTATTTCCATTTCCTGTACAACCCCTTACTCATTTGTATTCCTGCACTGGATGTAATCAGGGAGACGTGAAAAATCCAACAATGGCCAAGTAGCAGATTGACACAGGATTAAAATATCTGGTGGAGAGGACTTTGCAGGACAGTCCTTGGGCTCTGCTTTGCTATGGAAGCCTTCCAAACATGAACTGAGTGTCACGAACGCAATGACATCTTCCTGAGGCTGCAGGCAGCCTGAAACAATAGGCTCAGGCCAGTGACTGCCCCTGCCCCATCACTCTGCTGGAGCTGTCAGCTCAAGAGCCCACCAGCATGGTCCTGAATCAGCATTGACCATGTCGCCTCCAAGGTTTTTGCAGTTCTAGCGGAAATAGGTGGAATTCCTTCTTCCCCAGGGCCTTGATCAGTGGTTATGATAGGGACCATGAGCATCTGAACAAGACTGATGTGTCACAACAGAAGCGAGCTGAAGATGGGAGCATGGATAAGAGCAGGAACACCAGAGCTGTTCTGAAAGGAGGCACGTTTTTCAACTTAGCAGTGCTGTTATTGTTACTTTCAACCACGAAGAAACATTACTTAGTGGAAAAGTTCACGTAGTAGAAGCTGGAGATCTTGCTGCTGATAGCACAGGCAGATCTGCACTGGAGAGCAGGGATGATGGTCTGAGTTTACACCCTGTATGTGGGCCACACATAAGCAGAGGACATGGCCTTCTGCCCTTATTGCTTTAGCTGGCTAAATGTGGACATTTGATTTCAGCAGAGTGTGTGCATTAAAGTAACTTTTAAATCAGAGTAATTCCATTTTCTTTACTATACTTGGTCTGAAGTGGAAAAGTTGGAGGAGGTTTACAAGCAACGTAAATATTCACAAAACCAATCATTTCCCAGCTATGTACAGAGCACTCTGATAAGTGGCATCTGGTGAGTTATGGCTGAGAGAAAAAGCAAGTTTAAAAAAACCCCAACAAATAAATTTTAAAAATTCTTATTGCACAGAACTGCTGGAAGCACTTTTGATTTCTTGATCAAATTAGAAGATCTGTTAATTCAATAGAGAAAGGATTAAGGCTGTTATGGCCATTCAGAGAATTATGAACATAGCTATGTTGCCATGTGCAATTTCCTGAGAAAGAACAGCTTTTGCTTCATCTACATCCTCTGTTCCAGACACCCATTTTCCCTTGAGCTTGTTTACATGGGAAATCAAGCCAAATTAAAGAACTTAAGATAAACCAACTAAAGCCATTCATATAGACTCTAATATCCTTTAGCTAACATAATTTTATTTCCCCCCCCCGCAACAGTAATTCTTACAAATGCCAGTATTCAGGAACCACTAAAACAAAACTGGATGGCAGAGCTACAACATGAGTAAATGTTTTGTGCTGCTGAATGCAATGAGATATTTGGCCAAGAGACTTTAGCAATGCATGGAGTCAGTTTCACCCTGTCTATGTTAAAGGGTAAAAAATTGTGTTTGAGATATGCTATTATTAAAAACATACTTACAAATCCTGCACAGTGCTCGCAGAAAGTTGGTTTAAGATAGGTCATCTCCTGAAAGTTATGAATAAACCCTGGTCCCATTTTACACTGGAACTGTGATTTAGCTCTCAGAAAGTAAGCCATCATTTCTTCTTTGCTTATAAGACCATCTCTGTTGGGGAAAAAAAAGTAGAGTAGATCTGTCACTGCACACAGCACTGAACAAAGCAGGATTTTCTCACTGCAAAAAGCATGTAGCACACAAAATGCATTCTTTGAAAGGGCTGCAACAGATCTGACAGAAAAAAAATTAGAGTCTTTGTGGTTCTTATCCTTCATTAAACAGCAAACACTGGACTCACAGCACGGACCTTGGTTTCTCACCTGTTAATGGTATCAGAGCACAGACCAGGCCATTAAGTGAAGGTTCTGGACCTACTGCTCACACAGGCCAAATAGTTATGCCCCCAGCTGACCACCAGCCTTGACAGCCAAAGAGATTCCGGACAACAAGAATTATCAAGCCCAGCTGGCTAGGAAATACATATTATAAATACTTCCTAGAATATCTGTTACCCTCTCTCTGCTATATACACTAATTTCCCCTGTCCCGCACACAACTTACTTGTTTCATCAGGCTGATGCCTGGTCTGGATACAGCATCTCCACTGTAATTTGATGGGACTGTAGGGGTTTTGACTCAGTCCCAGCAGGGATTCCTCATTAAGCTTTTACATAAATGATTTTCAAAGTACCAGGTAACGCAGGACTCCAACCTGGGTGGACTTATAGAACCAACTACAGCATAAAAAGTTAAATGAGAACAGAACTCAGCCTTCAGTGATCTTCAGTTCCTTAAGCAAGATGTCAGACACAAGAAGCTTGGGAGACACTGTTTCTTCAATACTTGGTTTTCATGAGTTTTTAAATTGAGGAAAAGAAAAAAAAACCACAAAGAAATCTCCAAACTTACTGGTCTTTGTCCAGCACACAGAAAGAGTCCAAAAAGGGGAAGTTGGCAGCTATACTTTCGAAGTCTTCCTGAGAAATATAGCCGTCATGGTCATGATCATAATTCCTAAAGACAGACTGGGAAAAAGAAAGAAATTATTGTCCTAATATCAGCCTATCCTGAATCTATACCAGCTTTTCAACTTTATAATTACATGTAACTTAATGTTCAACATTACTAATCAGATGCTTTGCTGCCTTGTTTTACTCCCTTTATTCCTACTTGGTACTTCAATATGCATATTTATTGGACTGTTGGGGAAAAAATGGCTAATTTTTGAAGAAAACTTGACCTCAGTAATTATCTAGTGATGGTCCTCCACACCTCTTCAGACATTATTAGTCTTGCTTTATTTTTCTTCTTTATTGGAAGTGTCACTAAAATTCTGCCCCGTGACATATTCCCTTTGCTTCATTAAGTATTCTTTTTAATCACAAAAAAAGAAATAAAACACAAACAACCCAACAGCAGCTTTCCCATGAGTATTTCAGATGTTTTTGGCTTCACTTCTCTTTTAGTTGGTCACCTCTGTTCTGCCACAGTACTGTTTCTATTTGATTTGTTTATTAATACTTTGACATCCATGTCACACACGAGCACTTTGTATCTAACAACCATTCCCTCCCAACAACCCACTCCAGCTCACCACTAAGTAAAAACAGACATGGGATCAAATTTAAAAGGTTGCATAAAGTGATGGAAGCCCTCTTTAGCTGCTAAGGAATTGCTATATTCTGTCTTACTGATTGCAGAGATGTGCAAGGGGCGTTAAAGCTATGTGTGATGCTGATGGGAAAAACATGAGTGTCAGAGTCAACATGGCTATCTGAAAGACACATATTGAAGCACAAACTCTCTCATTAGATTAACATTTGGTTGACAAAGACAAGAATTTAATATACTGAGACCTCTGAAAGGCGTTTGCAGTGTCCTTATTTTAACGAGAACATGATGAAGCCAATTTCTAAGCACCTGTCAAATGACCTATGACTGATGACTGGCAGATCTCAAAAATACATCATCAAAGAGGAACCAATATGCAAACCCAAGTAGTATTCAACACTTAGTAATAAAAACAATGCCTTAAAGCACAACTCAAAGCAGCTAGTAAATGACAAAGATTGGCAAAACAAAGACAGCTGTAGAGAGTGGCGTGGGCCTCTTGGTAAGCTGTATCCGTAACAGCTCCGAGCCATGTTTTAATCCTGTCAAACTCAAGGTCATATATCCTGAACCAGGCCAAAATTATGGAATGGGAGACTGCATCTTTCCCACCCACAGGAACACGAACAACCCCCCACCCAGCACATTCTGGAAAGATTAAGGAGTTGCTACAGACTTCCTATTTAAACAAGCTATCAAAGAGAGGTTTGGATGGGGAGTGATTTTTATCAACACATATGGCACTGAGAAAAGCAATAGAGGAACAGCATGTGCAGTTCTGGCATCCCACATTAAGAGCAAAATGATTTTTTTTTTTTTTTAAAAAGAGCATGTACAAAAAATAAACCAGAAGATATATTTGAAGGCTGAGTGAGAGAACCGAAGACTTTGCTTAAGTTATCTTAACAATATAACCCCAAGTAATGACCTGTAACACAGACAAGGTCAGAGTTTAATAGTTCCTCCCAGACTTAGTTATTAATTTGTAAAAAGCAGAAGGAAATCTTGCTTCATTATCTACAACACGTTCCTGGTTCCTCTGCATGCTGCCCACATCACTAAAACTCCCCTACACACCAACACAACAGGGCTCAGTCTCTCCAAAGGAACCTGGCAGTGTTTAGTTTTGCCTGTGTTACCTAACACATCACCTTCCAAACTGAAGCTGGAAGATCCCAGCTATAACTCCCCATGACCTCATGCCCACATTTTTAAAGTGTTATGAAGACAGTGCTATCTTTACCATACATAATATACTCTGGACAGTCAAATGACAGCAAGTTGAAAACCAGAAGTAGGGTTTCCGGAAAACTCCTCTGGACCTAGTAATGTGTGAGTCCTTGCTTCTGAGTATTTTTGTTTCCAGCTGTCTGTTACCAGACATGAACTGGGTGGCTAGAGCTGCAAATACTCAACTTTGCCCTCTGATTTTATATTTGCTAATCAAATCTATTGAACAGCAGCTAGGCTTTGGATGCTCCTGAAAGTTTGCTCCTTTGCATCCAGAAACCTGCTTACTAATCCCATCGCTGATTGCAGGAATAAAATAAATATTTCTGGACATATCAATAAAGGCTCAAATTTGTTATTGGGTGTCTGAAATTCATCCCAATCATAACAATATCTTGAAAAGCTTGAAATTAATTATAATGATGACAATATCAAAGCTATCATTCTCTTTGACCAGTATATTCTTCCAAATACTTACATCCACCAGCTTTCGTATATGCTTGTTAATGACTGTAGGGTCAGGTTTTGGTACCACTCCAGATGCCCACTCCAGTGGCACTACTGGCTTGTTAGGGGTTGTTGGGGAGGTAGGCTGCTGAGAGATGGATCAGAACACAAAGATTTTCAAATCTGAATTATGATGTTGAATTTCCTGTTAAAAGCAACTCTATATGTTGGAGCTACAACCACAAACTCCTGGAGTCCCCGTGCTGTTAAAACATGCTTAGCAAAACATCAGACAAGGTTTTAAAGGATTGCTTGCCTCCACTAACAGCTTCATTTGGGCTCCCTGTGGCACCTTGCAGCTACACTGGCAGCAGCAGTGCCCAGCGAGCTCAGAAGCAAACCAAGGCAGACTTTCCTCACTGCCATCTCCAGAGGGTTCAACGGCAATGAGACTTGGAGGAAGAGGGAAGGAAGGAGGGTCTCGGGACACAGCAGGCATCAGAAATAGGTAACTCCAGAAACCTGCTTTTCTCCTTCCCAGTAAAGCCCCTGAGGAACTCTCCACCACAGTGCACCCTTGCCCCAACTCTCTGACGGAGGGACCGTGCCCAGGAGCCACAAGAGGGACTGCAGCAGCCTGAATAAGTTAACACTCCTGCTCTGTGCAGCACCAACAATAGAGTAGGATGCAGAAGTGGGGGCAGAATTGTGCTCAGCAATCCCACCAGTTTCCAGCTGAGATGGGCCAAGATGCACAGCTTAATTCATTTAGGCAGCCTGAGCAGAAAGGGGTTAACCTTTGACTTGCTCTGCAGACAACACCAGCCAGGCTATTTTATTTTGAAAACAGCTTGGTCTTGATGAAATGGTAGCTGACAGCTCACTTGATGCACAGAGCACGCAGCCCGACTCCTTCCACGCCACTACAGTGCTTTGGGAGAAGCTCTGGCACGCAGCTCAGCTTGTTCAAGTAGAAAATACAGGACAAACCTGAACACAGTTTCAGGTAAGGCTTCAAAAATCAGCAGTTAGCATGAAAAAAGCTGCAAGGCATACTGGCCTTCTCCTGTATCTGCCACTGGACGTCTAGCAGGTGAAGCAGTGTGAAGCAGAAAAAAATTCAGCATGGTTTTGATCAGAAAGGAGATGGCCCACAACCTCGGAAGGCCCCTGTATTAGCTGATGAGCAAGAAACCTGGGTCTCATCCGTCTCCCTTTAAATTGGTGTGAGTTGAGAGGGACATAATTAAGCCATGGAAAGATGTTATAGTTATTATTGTGTATAACAAAGGTGTTGTAGACTTTGCCATTGAGATGAAAAATGGTCACAAGATCACACTCTACTGTGTTTGGCACGAAAGAAAAAAAGAAGGCTATGTCAGTGGGTTGCTTTATTAATTTGGCTTTTTCTTATTCAATTGTCAGAACAGCTTTCGTCAGTTCCTCAAGGGCTCTTGACTCATCATACACATCCGCACAAGTAAGTTTGGGAAGAAAAAAATCCCTATATCCATAGAATTCAATTTCAACAAGAAATACAGTGAACCTGGACATCCAGCTCTATATGCCAAAAGCACTTACAGAGTGTTTTAATCCTAAAATTAATGTCACCACACAGTGATAGATCAACATGCTGGCAAGTGGTTGTGCTCTAAAAATATGCAGAAATGTAGCAACCTTTTAAAGATGACATATCGTGATAACATGTAACATGCCAGTATTGTGATATTCTTACAGCTATGGTCAGAGAAGAAATTCGAAATGTGCCTTCTCTTAAAAAAATCTTAGACTGAAGGGACTCAAAGCATCAGTATCAAAGTGTCAGAGTGGTGCTAGACTACCAAGTCCTCACAGAGGGCTTTTAACTCCTGCTGGTCTGAGTGCAAAATGGCAGAAAGAGACAGGATCCACTGAAGCCTTCCTCTTTCTTCTGGGCTATTTCATTTGAAGCCTTATTCAATTTTTATGTTTTTTTGAGAAGTTGCAATGAAAACTTCATGTTAGTTCCCACTAGCCAAAGGGAAATGTTGGTTCCTTCTATTTCACTCATAGACTTCTATGAACAGTCATAATTATATTTATGTATTTGAAATGCTTGCTATGAGGAAAGGTACTAACCAGTGTCCAGAGACTACCTAGCTGAATTTACTGAACATTCAGAAACACTGTATCTCGTCACACTGTTTGTGATTCAGCCTGTATCTCCTGACTGTTTCGCTAGCACAGGGGTAATGGTATTGTAGACTGAAAAAGCATTTTCAGATGGATGCAAACATCTGCGTATTTCGGTGTTGAAATAAATTCTACTCAAAAGCAAAAAAAATATGTGTGTCTTCAGTGGCATCACTGCACCAGGCAAACTTGTCATCTAGCCAATAGCTGTACTTGCAAAAACTCCCAACAAGAAGATAACTAATGCTCAGGGAAAACCCAGTGTGACAAGGAGATGCTCTACTACAACTGGTGGTCAGTCTTCAGTATTTTTTAGGCTACTACATTGACTGAAGAGTCTCCTCCCAGTTTTAGCAGAATGAAAGTCTTGCTCAAGTCCCTGTTGACAGCAGGCTCGTATGCTAGCAGATCAGCTCCACTTTTGCCTCGAAAACGACTGCAGCAGCCTGAGGCACTTCCTCCACAGTGCACCTGCATGGGAGTTGTACCCATACAACAATAAATCAAGGAGCAGTTGGAATGATATAACTACGCTATCATGTTGCCTTTGACAAATTTTTCCATATACAAAAGCTCTACCTCTAAAAATTTTCCCCTCTAAAATATCTTGTGTGCTTTGGCACTCCATCAATGAGAAGTATGGCTCAAATGGTCTGGCTTCTGTCGATTCAGCTGTAGCTTTCTACCCATCAGGGTGCTGCAACAGCTCAATGTCACTGGTTATTCATTGATCGTTATGCAGAAGTCTCTCACAATTGCTGGGTAGTGTTAAAGTTCACAGCACTGTTTATATTGCTTTTTGTCCTTCTTAAAGCTCAGGCTGGAGATCAAAGCAGCAATGTGGTAATTTTCTTCACTTACAACAGTGAGCCATTAGTCCTTCCACAACACAAAGCTGTAACAAATCGGCTTTGCTGGCAGTAATGGGAGCAAGAGGGAGCCAGAATGACTGCGATAAATGGGACCTGTTGTTGTCAAGTCATATCTGACAAGGACGGGAGACTCTAATGAAATTACAGGTGTTCAAACTGAATTAGTGTTGACTATTCAATAGCTTCCTTACTACTGCTCATCATCCACCACTGAAAGCACACACACATAGTCCTCAAACTGGTCTCCAAGAGTGATGAACTATCTTGAAACCCAGAGAAGCCCTATGCTTGGAAATTAAGGGTTTCTGCTTCCTTGCTTGCTTTTAAGAATACTTCAGAAACATAAAAAGCACTGCAATGAATCACCTCAGACTACTGGACTCTGCTTTCACACTGCTAAGCATTTCCAGCCACCCTTAGTTTCTGCTCGTGTCAGACTTGAGAGGCCTCAGCCTGAGAGAGTCACGTGCTGGATAGGACAGGTAGTAAGGATGTTACTGCACTGATGAAATGCTCATAGGGAAGAAGACTCCCCAAACTTTGGCAACAGAAGAGAGAGTAATGTTTTAAATGAAATTCAAATATTAATTAGGAGATTCATCTGTCTCCTCAGACTTGCAAAGCATAATGAAAAATGTATCAATGCAGCATTTTTTCAGTTGCACATACTAAATAAAAAGTAATATCTATTCTGAAGTGTTTAAACATTGGTTGAAAGGCCAAGATATAGCCAATTCTATATAAGCAAACAGTATTTAAAATATTACAGCTAATGCTGTGGCTTACCTAAAACAAATCTTTGGACTCAGTGTTGTGTTATACAACTGCACCAACATCCAGAAAATGAAGTAATGGTCACATAATAATAATTGATGTAAACTTACAAAAGATATCTTCACATAAAGCAAACTATGTTTTTCATGACTTGGAGAGGTTTTGTAGAAAAATAATTAGTAATGAAGCCTGGCATGTTTCACTGTTTACTTCTCCCAATATGCACTAAAACCTATAAATAGTGACTGTGTTTACTATACAAGCATACACACTAAAAGGCTTTAAGTGAATAAGAATAATGAAACTCATTAACTGCCATTTAAAAATTTAATTAATTGCATGCAGACAAAATAAGCAATATGTGAAAATGCAGTAAAAGATGACCTACAGATCTGGAGTTCCTTGGTTCCAGCACCAGCGAGAGCTTGTAGATATCATCCTCAGTGTGATAGAGGTCCAGGGACAGCTATGTGTAAGAAAGAGAGAAAACCAGTAATATTTATTAGACTGGGTTGGTTATGACAGTCTTGTAAGCACAGATATACCTCTCACTATAGCTAAACAAAAAGTTTTGCTACTCAAAGTTCAGCATATACACCAAAGCTGCTTGCAGCTACTGGGAAAGCAGCTTTTCCCAGAGCTACCATAACCCATGCTGGTGAGCACATGCTGCTGTTCACGCCTGTACTGAGCCGAGCAGGTGCTGTACTCGAGGGCTGTCACAACCTGCATCCCAGCATGGTGAGTGAAAGGGGCTGTGTGTTGACCTTCTCCAAAGAGGAACATTGGTACCAAAGACCACCCTTAGGCAAAACACTTTCTTTCAGCAGCTCAATGGTCATGAGAGATCTCAGAGAAATAACCTGGTGAATACAAAAACTGCAGGAAAGAAGTTGTAAAGGGACTAGGTTAGAAGGACTTCAGATTGCGTTCAGGTGAAGTTTTGTTCCTTAAGAAGGGTCAGGGCACTGTAGCTCTTCTACAGAGATCAGCCCATGCAGCAAAAGCCTCTCTGGAAAGCCCTGGTCACTGACATAGGCCTGGGGAGAGGCAAGCCAGGTTTGGCACCACTGTTGATGCAGCAAATTGCTCCATGGAGAGCAATCCCAGTCACTTTAGCCCAGCTTGGCCTGTTCCCGATACCCTCTCACCAAGTAAGGTAAATTCCTTTTCAGCTTCTGTTTTTAGAGAAATGAAAGTTTTTTTCTTCCATGTACTCATTCTTTTCTGTATAGGATTTATTGAGGGAAAAGAAGGGCCTTAAATACACTTAAAGTAAAAAGAAAATGTTTAGTTTTACTTTGGCAGCTGTGGTCTTGTGCTGATGCAGGTCTGTAGTAAATTCCTCCTTGCTTGGATTGATGAAGGAAAAAAGTAATCAACACTGTGGCTAATGTTTTGCAATGAGAGGAAACAAACATTGCATGTTTCCTGTGATCATGTCCCTACCTTAATTAGCTTTGGAGTAATTGACATGATTTGAAGTTATCATCTACCTTGCAAATCCCCAGTTAAGCTAAGATTCAGTTAAAAAGGTGTTTCCCAGCAGGCAGATAGAATTGCTACTGACTAAATGACTGTGACAGAAGGTTATTTTTAGAGAACCTGAAGTGCTGAATTAGTAACAAGCAGGACCAGTGACACCGTAGTGCAGAACCACCTCTAGGAACCACCTTCTTGTAGGCATAATTTTGTACAATGAGTAAGACATGAGTTGTGCCCTTTCTCAAGACAGGTACACATCCCAGAGCGAACACATAACTTTAGAGGTGTCTGGATTTTGCATTTTTCATTTTGTCTAGCTGTAACACTACGCTGATTTTCGTACTTTGTGATTTGGTTATGGGCACCAGTGAAAGCCTGAGCATCCTGCAGGTTCCTTTACCCAGCTGACATGCTGCTGTCACAGAGGAATGTAAGGACCTGTCCTAAAGATAATGTAGATCCAGTAACTGCTGTAACCAATATCATTCATGTGCTTAGTTATTCAGTGACTGTATTCTTCGGTTCTGTGGTGGTATAAAATAAGCAGAACTCAGCTGGAGCAAATGATATTATCAGGTCAGGCTGGGACTGACAGCAGAATTGCTAGTTCAGAAGGCCTTGCCCTGTTCCCACTAAAGAGCACAGTTTTCTCAGCAGGCCAGATGAGCAGGCTGTGGATTTGGGGATGAAAATGCATTAGTATGTATTTAGCAAGTTTGTATCTCCCCTCCCTGAATTATCTGACCTTATCATCATAAGCAGCAGTTATAATTTCATGAGGCACAATATGTAAGCACAGAGTGGCTAAGGTATTATCTAGTACAGAAGTTTCAAATACTAGCAAAAAAATTACAAGCATGGTGACTGTGCTGTTACATAAGCTTTCATTTTATGTTTTATTTACAGTTTTGCTCTGACAGATAAAGTGTAATCAGAGTTTTCCTAGGACAACCTTTACAGCGGGTGGCAGTTTCCATTCTAATTTGACTTTCATTTCTGTCCTGTTTTTCCAAGCAATTTTGCAGGGGATTGAGGAGGGTGGAGGAAGGATCAGAAAGGCAGGGCTTTTTTTTTTGTAAGTGGAACTTACTGAACCGAAGTTAGGGAGGGTGACTTTCAATTTAGTTGTTTAGATATTTCTCATTCTCTTCACTAGACTGTACAAATGACTGGGACTTTCCAGTCATTTGCATACAGTCTCAGAACAGGTTAGATAAATAGCTGTCAAGACCTAAAAATAGTGGGGGAAAAAATGGTGGCACCAAATAAGTTCTAATGCAGTTGGTATAAATACACTGTAGACTAGTTGAGAGACTGAGATCCTCTTCCAATCCACAAAAAGTGATGAAACTTTGACCCACAGGCTTTTATTCATGTTGTGAAATAAAAACAATGTGGAAATACTGCACAACAGGCAAGGAAATCCCTTAAGCATCCTTACCAAATGTTAAGTTTTCTAATGATGAGTATGTCATTACAGCTATTATTCCTCTCTGGTGCACTGCCAAGCTCATGCTAGGTCCTCTTTTACTACTTCGACTTCTTAGCTCCAGGTTTCAGATGCCAGGGACTGGTACAGAACCAGGTACAGGGTCAGTGGATATGGACTGAGTGTGGCCAATAAGGCAGGAAAGGAGGAAGAACCACACAGACTAAAAGTAAGCGGGCACTAAGGTGCGAGTCCATCTTCATGTAACAAGCTCTGCCTCACCAGCTGGTGAGTCATGGTACATTTACATCTCTTGCCCATATAACCCAGACTCATTTACACATGACCAGGTGAGGACTCGCATCACTAAAGCTCCCCCTCAGCTTTTGCAGTCTCCTATGCCAGCAGGCCTGGCATTTGTCTCACTGCCTTCCATAAAACAAACTTTTGCCTTATTTGTGGCATTTTAACTTCCATGCAAAATATTGGCTTCTTTCAGCTACTTGTTCAAAGCTAAAATTCTGTGAGCTGGAAGCTGATTTTTTATGCTGGCAAAAAGATGGGGGGTGGCGGAAAGCAGACTTCCACGTTTGTGTGCAGACATCTGAACCAAAAGAGAGCCCCAGCTTTCCAAAATGCTGATCATTCAGCAGCTAACACTGAAAACACAGAGATTTAAGTTCTCTTGTTCATTCACCCTTTAGGTCTATACACACAAGAGCATCTGAAAAATGCCCGTAAAGTCCCTTGACCAGGTTGGCTGAAGTTTACTACCAAGCTCTTGCCCCAACTTTTAAGCCAAGCTCTTACTTCATAGCTCTTAACAGTCTCCCCAAACGCCATAATTTCCAAACCACTTGAAAGGTATTAGCTGCCCCAGAGCAGATAGGGCTCCACCATGGAGGAAAAGAAAGACCAGGGCAAATTCCCACATGCCCGCTTAGTCCATGAAATACCCATTTTATCTTTTTGTGCAAGTTGTTGGACTAGCAAACCAGCACCCAGTGATTTACTTGTCAAGCAAGCACAGGCCAGGCTGTCAGCATTTGCTAAGTGTGGTGTAAAAGACAATACTGCAAGGGATGGAGGCCAGGCGAGAGATTTACACATTGCTTGTCAGGACAAAACACCCACTAAAAGCCTGCCTGGATTCAAGCGGCTTAATGGGAAAACAGCAGAAGTGAACAAATAGTTGGGTCAGCTGATTCACACGCAGATGAAAAGCACTCTACAGGTTTATATACATTTACTAGTTTTGAAAGGGAGTTTCTCTAAGTAAGTTAAAGATAACAAAAATTTTTACCATTTACATTAGAGGGAAGACCTAGCAATAAATAGAATAGTTATTTCTTTAGGTTCTGAAAACTGAGGATGATTTTGGCAGCAAGGGAGGCTAAACCTGCTAAAAGACCATTTGCACGTAGCAAGGTCAACTATTTTTAGTCAGCTCCTGTCAGCTTTGGGCTGCAATCCTAGCTTTCTTCTCGTCTTTCTCTGACCCCAGCCTATAATTTAAAGCTTTCTTATTAACAAAAAGATTGACAAAAACATTTCACCTACTATATAAGCTCATTATTACTGTTTAAGAGAACACTGTAAAAAAAGTACTGTAATGTATTCATATGTACAAATGAGGACAAAACCTACATACTGGAAGAAAAGTGAGAATACTCATAGTATTATGAGATGTACCAAAATTCAGGTCCAGGAACGTCTTGTAGAAATTTGGTTGTACCCTTTCCCAAACCTTTTTCAAAACTCCCACACTATCAAACCTACTTGACTCACAACTATACTTCCAGTGACCACTATGAAGATAGAATTACCTTCAAAAGGTTTTGGGACACCTACAGCTGTCTACCTAGGATGCCTATGGCTGTCTCCATCATTACTGAAAGGTACCACCATGGAATCATTCTAACAGGTAAAAAGCAGCACAAGTCAATTTTAACCCATGATCAGGTCTGGAATCAACACTGCAGCATGCAGCTTCATTTATTTACAATCGAATTGGCTCAGCTATAACCAAAATCAACACAGTTATATTAGGAGTTAATACATCAGAACATAGTAAACAAAAAAGTACTTGTCATGTACTCAATTACTTTTCCTGGTAAATGAAATATACTGAATGAAATATTACGTAGATATAAATAAAATCCGTATCATTTTGCTAAAAACAAACAAACAAGGAAAATATTAAAAAATTTGAAAAACAGGTAAAATACATAAACTCAGGTTGATACAATGATGGGAATGAACCTGCTAGATCTTAGAAAAATTTGAAGCTTTCTGCCCCTTTTGGAAAGCAGGCTGTCACCCAAAAGAGAGAAGAACAGCTAATGAAAATGTCAGCAGTGGTTCAGCTTCCATCTCTCACTTCACGTTGTCTAATTTCTGCCCTTTTGGGCTCAGTTTCTTATTACTCAGTTCTCTAAAACCTGAGGTTCCACTTCCCCCTACTCACAGCCAAGCTTGTAAGAAACTATGAACTTTCAGAAATGAGCAGGGAGGGAAAGAGTGGCACAAGATAAGAAAGCAACTCTCAATCCCTACTAAAACAAAACAAGGTAATAAATATCTGCCTTTATAGTCTAATTTTTTAATTAGGTGAGTGTTGCAGTGGGCTATACACAGTCCCTTCTCCTCCTTGTCCCACTAAACATGATTAGGACTTGTTCCTGGATTGCTCCACACAAAGTGCAATAGGAGAAGGTTCTCCAATTCCCCAAACTTTCCCATTCCTCATTACAGTGAAGCCACAGGTATATCCACACTGTCTTGGTTGCTTCAAACTTAGCCTCATATTTGTCATCCTCCATAGTGTAAACGCCTGCACCTGATCAGTCCCAGTGTAAATCCAACACAAAATACCACCTCTGCTTAATTTCTAGATATGCACGTTTTCGAGCATTTCAAAGTAAAGCATGAAAGGAAAAAAATCCAAAGTTCTTGCCCAATAGCCCTCCAGTTAAAGCATTTACCTAGAATGAGCTAGGTAATGAGAGTCATCTCAAGTCTGTGACCTGACTGAGGAAAATCTGGAATTTGGTTCCCACCTCCCCGGGGAGTAAATTCTGAGAAGTTCATGCTATCCAACAAAATAAACACTGGAAAAATTCTGAAATCTGCCCTAGTTACCCACAGATTTTGCTTACTTCTAAGTTTATTTTTGAAAGAATTTTATTGATTTAAGGAGAGCAAAGAGATTCTCTTTCAGTCTGGATTAGAGATCTGAAAGACAAAGTTAAATAACAAGAACAGGAAGAGCATAAAATGATTATATATTAAGAGAGTCCTTTACCTAACATGACATATTTCAGACTACTCTCAGATGAGTAGGTGGCTTTTACTTGCTTGCAACATCAACGGTTTATAACAAACAACATTCCTTTTTTCCAAGTTTCACAGGTTCAATCTTTAATTCTAAGACATTGTTTTTGCCTGTGACCTGAACAAACTGTGCTGTTGGGCCAAACACTACTGCAGTTAAGATCAGTGCTGAAATGACTAAATTTCACTAGGGGCAGGATTTGGCCTAATGGTTCAGGCTCCACGCTTCAGTATGTTTTGAAATAAGTGTAGTGTTTATTAAAATTACAGTCATTGTCTACACATCAAAAAGGGGACTGAAAATTAATTCCTTTTAGCATTGTCAGTTGCAACTTTTTAAAAAAAATGTTTTATTCAGTTTTTCTGAAATCTCACTTTCCTTTGGTTTGAAATGGGACATTCAGATCCTTATCTGTAATTTGTGTGTGCAAGTTTCAAACCTCCCCAAATGTAGCCACTGCCAAGGAGTAAGGGGAGGGAAAGGAGTAGGGGTTGCAGAGCGTCTTTAAAACTATTCAAGAGCATTTTTATTTACTGGATAGGAAGAGTGCTGTGTTGCACACAAAGCACAGGGGAGCAAGAACAGAGTGACAACCAAGTTGGAATTTCACTTGTGTGTCCATGTCAATACGTCACCCGATCTTTGCACAGGAGACGTAAGCCTCAATTCTAAGCAGTCAGAACTTAGTTTTCACTTCTCCTAACAAAAATACAGCCCTCTTTCTGTTTTCCTTAAAATAATTAATTGAAAAAAATCCTGTTGCTGCTTCCAGCCATCACACACTACAGTAATGAAATTCTCTTTGACTTTATTCATGCTTCATGTGAACTTGTTTCTGTTTTGTATTCTCTCCCTTTTCTATTACAAAACTGGGATAAAAATGTGCACTTATCTCTATAGATATAAATACTCTTACTGACATTCAACATCTGAATAATTGAAGTGAATTGAAACATGGTCAATACTTACAGTTAGAAGGTTAATTAAATCCATATTAGGCTCTAAATGATGAGAGGCAGTTTGCAGGGAAACCAATTCACTCAAGGTGATGGAAAGCTGCTGCATTTTCACTATGTTAACTTTGTTCTCATCTACCCAGTCAGGAAAAATGACATGGACAGCAATCAAGTCTTTCAAATGAACTCCTAAAATCGGAATTTTGAAGCCAACACAGTCAGCAAAAGCTTTGCGGTAGTTGCAGTAGTTTCCATTGGAAGAGACCAGCTCTGTCATTTCGTTCCAGTCCTACAAATAGCCAGAGAAGCAAGCCTCTGTGAAAGCGTTCATAGCATTTCCTTAATCTGTTTTAAATGAGCACAACTCATGTCAGGGTGTTGACAGTGTTAATTTCCTCTCTGGCACAGGCAATCAAGCAGAGGATCTCCATGAGCTGATCCTTCTCCACCAAAAGGAACGCAACCAAAGTGCCTTTTAGGATGCCCTGCCATGATCCAAGTAGTGTGCTGGTGAGACACCTGCACTGCAGAACCCATCAGACCTCATAAGAGATGATTAGATCTTCATAAGAGGTGATGTTCTGCTCAATACATCTATATTGTGGAGCCCACCATACCTTTGTGACTTCTGAAGACAGATGAGAATGAGTTTCTTTCAGGCGAGAAATAGAGCTGTGGCTTAGGCCTCCCACAACTGCCATCAGTGTGTTGAAGTTCTGGAGGTGAAGGAGCTTCTGCAGGAGAGATTGATCGTGCATAATTAAAAACCAAGGAAATACATGTGGCAGCAATCCAGTGTCACACATGACAAGTGAAAGGAGACAACCTATCACTGCTAAAGCAGAAATCACTAAACCAGGGGACATAACAGAATAGTTCAGCATTTCTTTTTTTAATTAGCTTAGTTCCACAAGAAACACACAATAGTGACAGTTGTCAGCCAGAATACAACAAAGAAAAATTATTTTATAGTTATGTCTGCTAGTTAAAAAATGCAGACATACTACACCTGAACAAATAACCTGCAGTGGTGTTGAACAGGCTGTTCACTGAGGAAACAGCACAAAGAGCATCCAGTTCATTTGTTTACTGCAACCTCTATTTGTATTATTGCTTTACACCGAAGGAAAAAGACTCATATGCAAGACTTACCTGTGCAACATTGATAAACTTTGTGATTACTTCTGCCCTTTGCTGAGGTGTTGGTTTGCTGAGAACCATGAGCTGGACCCATTTGGAGATACCATTAAATAAAGCAATAGATCTCTCCAAAGTAGGATTGTTCTCCAAGCACCCATGGATCACATAGCTTTGGTAGTCTGTGAACTAACAGAAGAAAGGCATTTTCAGTAAAATGGTGGACAACTTAAGAATCAAATTGAAACTTTGATAATTTTTTTCCTTTTAAAGCTCCTCTTGTTTAGAAAGTGACCAAGTCTCAGGGTCAGCAGACCCTGCTGCACATCAGTTCTTTCTTAAAATTTTGTTGTTGTTGGGGTTTTTTATTACTTAAATGTCAACATAAAACTTCAGTGTTTGTGTGTTAGATAATACAGCAGCATGCATGATGAGCATGGTTACGACTTCCAGGGAGTTATCTTTCCCATAATTTACTCATCACTTACAACATTTAATTCTGTGTAGTTTTAGTTGACATCCTCATGGCATGATAGTTTATAGGAATTATCTAGTGCTACAAGCAAGAAGCATGTAAATAAGAGCTTTCATCCCACTCCAATATCCTGACCAACTGCATTGTTGGTGTAAAGAGAGAAATCTTGGCCCCACTGAAATCAATAGGAGCTCTGTCACTCTTCACAGGAGCTTAAACTGCATCCCAAGAAGCTAACTATGAACCCATTTTCTTCCTCCTATGTCAAAAAAATTCTGTAGCACAAGGACCTACTTCTGCTAAATCTTGCTTCTTTTGATGTTATTGTTCAGTCCTTGTATGTTCATGGACATAGTTCTACATGGGAGAGCTACTGCCCCCAAGAATTAGATTTTCCTAAATGTTTGGAAAACATTTTTGAGCTGTCCCTTTAAGATGGATTTTCAGAAGCTTATGACATAACTTTAGCTTGTGCAGGGAGTTGATAGCAACGCCAGCCAACATGGGTTTCTTGGTCTTAGCTGATCAAAAATTGCCTGCTAGAAGGCCATATGATGGCATATGCTCTTACACAGCAGATGCTCATTTCAGAGGTGCAGATAAATAGTATCTCAGTGTTCAGACACTTTTAAATATTTTCTGTTGTGATTAACGCTGACTTTCCTTCTCCTCCACTTTTTTTTTTAATAGGTAAAACCAAAGACAGGATTCAAACTAATCATCTTTTACAATTACATAGCTTTGAGATAACACTTTTTTCTACCTTGCAAAAATAAGTGGGACTCTTACATTTCTGAACAGTTTATAGCAAATCACCTGGTCTCATTGACATCTCCAAATAAATGCTACTTGTTTCTCTGTAGCACTTCTCAATTGTTCTTTAAATTAGATTAGTGATCCTGGGTTCCTTTCTCAATCTCTATGTTTTGAGGTGTGCCCTTCACTTTATTTCATGGAAATGTACCATTCTTACAACTTTTTGGTTACCATTCTCATATAAACAAACAACACATCTTTCAAACCTCTTCATTGCATTACAGGATAGTATAAGATTAATTAAGTCTAACTGGCTGCAGAGAAACATCTGAGATATAGCAAGATTCAAGCCAACGAATTAACAGACAAATTAGAAACAGCAAGGAAAAAAAAATTCATTGCAGGTCTGAGTTTTTTTTTCTGGAATTCACAAAGGCATTAAAATATATCTTAAGTCTACTTACAAATACATCCCTTTTTTCTTGTGCCTCCCTCCCTCTTTGAGGTTAGCATTGCACAGATCACGGTAGGGTGTTTTCCCATGATTTGAAGTCTAGAGTAATTAACCTTTGAACGTTATTAAATGACGTCAAAAGTGATTCTATTTAGACTGGTCTCAGCTCCTCATTGATCTCTCTTTCCTTCCCCTCTTGAAACAAACAAAAAACTTCATATATTTTTCTTAGTTTTGGAGTTTGATTTCTTTCATGCTCCTAAACAATTTTTAAAAAGTCTCATTTTTTTGCTTCAGAGAATTTGTCATCTTGAGAACTTACTGCTTCCATTTGCCACCAGATACAGTGGCATCATGTGACCTTTTCATATGGATATTTGCCAGCGAAATCAGCTTTTTTTTTTTGGCATTTGGGTTACTCATTTGTTTTGCTTTAGCTTCTACTTTCATTTTCATCCATTTTTGCTTCTTGTTCATGTACAATCCTGTGTGAAAAGAAGCAATTGTATCTAAATTTTCCTCAGTGCTAATATCCGAGAAGGAGGAAAGAGAAGTTGTGCCGTCTCTGCTCTTGGAGGTTTTCAAGACCCAGCTGGCTAAGTCCCTGTGGAACATGATCTATCTTGGAGCTGAACCTGCTTTGGGCAGGGGGTTGGCCTAGAGGCCTCCTGAGATCCCTTCCAACCTGAATTATCTTCTGATCCTGAGTTGGCAAATGAAAGGACAGTTTCTGAAGAGGTAGTTGGGAGTGAACAGAGACTACAGAAGGACTATATCTTTTTCAGTTTCTTCAAAAATTGTTCATTGCAAAGACTCTGATGTTTCCTGAAAAGTAATTAACTATTTTCCTCAGAGGAAAAAAAAAAAACCTGGAGATTTTGAACAATAATATTAGTTTAATCAGTTGTTGCAACACATGGCTGCAGTAGCTTTTAGCAGTAATTTTTGCCCAGAATTTCTCCACAGAATTAACTTCTGTGACTAAAAGCATCAATCATGAAAAAGATCAAGGAAGTGCTGGTGCAGCCATGGCTATGTACATCATGTGAAGGATTATAAAGATTTACTACACTGAAATGTGGAGGGAAAAAAGTCATAAATGTTAAACCATATGAATGCTCTTTAAGGACAGGCTCTTAATTGCAAGTGACAAAGTTGTAGACTTCTTACAGAAATTCTCCTAAAAGATTTATGCTCCAGAAAAGTGAGATGTTCAGCTAGCTCAATGGGCTCCAGATGGTCAAACAGCAGGCAGGCTTTTCCCTTCTTGGAAATCCTCTTCCTCTGTGTAACTCTTCTCATCCAGTCATAGGAAGGACTGCAACAGAAAAAGGTACAATACTAATTTCTGTTTGGGTACATGCAAGGGTAGCCCAAGGTTTGCACACAGTTTTCTACCAAGAGACAGATTATGAGTTTTCTGATCTGTGACATCCAGCACATAAACACTCAGAGTAAGACCCACTCAGGTGCATAACAGAAGAGTTTTGGAGGTGCTACTGCAAATGATAAATAATAGCAGGTTTCTATCCAAACAAAAGGACAACATACTGTTCTCTGTGATAGAAGAAGCCATACTTAAAAAATGCCTTGGGAATACAAGAAGAACAGGTCACACCAAATTCTGATACAGAATTAAAAAATATTTGAATAACATCAAGGGTTAATTTTTACTCTGCAAGACCACATTTCCATGAAATAATGGGACAGCAGAAACAGTGAAACAGCTAACAAAACAGTAAGACAAGGGTGGACAAAAAGACAAATCATCTGCTTGCAAGCAATGGAATAATTCCTACCCATATACCGTAAAAGCACTTCAGAGAGCAGAAAGAGTTGCTAACAATATTTTAAAATGAAGATTTAAGAGTCAATATTCATATGATTTCACTGGTACTGTTCTTGCAGGAAGTCTTGCAACCTTCACTGAGATTAGTAGTGCTGTCCTTCCAGGTTACTATGACATTTTTAAATAAGGAAAAGTCACTATGCATGTGCCATATTTTAGAAGAAAATCTACAATATCAGGTGAGATACAAGAGCCTCTCTGGTGATGTTTAAAAGGTAACTTTCGTTTCAGCATGTCAAGGAAATAGTAGTGTAATCATTTTGACGGAATAAAACTACAAACATGAATGCTAAAGATTATCCAGTTAAATCATAGAAAAGAAGTACACAGAAAGCCAGTAGATAAAATTAACAGGTTACTGATGAAAGAACAAAAAATCTTCCATGAGGAAATGCAAAATTTACACAACATACCAGTCACTGCATTGCTTGTCATGCTGTATGAAAAATCATAGGAAAAAAGTAATATTAATCACTTAATTGGCACTAGCTTTGTCAGGAAAATTATTTCTTTTCTGTTTATATTAAAAACTTACATAGAGCTAAGAATCTTCTCTTCACTGTGACGCTACAACTAGAATTTCAAATTCTTAGTAACTTCAAATTTAGAAGCCAATATAATCTTTTTGTAACTGCTTTTTTGCTCTCTGAAGATCAAGATGGCCCTTAATATTTTTATATTTTGCACAGAACTAGAATTCTGCTGTTACAGAGACAGAGAGAAAGATGTTGAAGCTCGTAACATCCTTACATGCTGGAGATATCGATGAGATGCATGTGATCCTCATATCCAAGCTGCATGGCTACTTCTCGAAACTCTTCAGTCAAACGAATCAGCCCAAGATCCAAGTTAAACTCTGCAGGAAATTCTAAAATCCAGTATCTGAAATCCACAGACAGTGGTTCAGAGATGATCAGGGATTCATGTGTAACATTCAGTGGCTGCATATATATACTCACATTTTATTCAATAGGACTTATAAATATTTCAGACCCAATGGCTTTTGGGCAGAGATGGTGGACTAACCGAACTTGTTGCTGCTGTGATTGTCTGCGACACTGAAGTGGCAAAAACCACTTTATCATGTAATTTCCTTTGGTTAACTCACCACAGCACAACACAGCAGCATTCTATTGAAATGTGAAATTAAAGTGATGCCTCAGGTGACATACACAAACAGCACACACATGTGTCCTGACTCAGGCTGCCAGGACACCCAAAAGACACTTGCACTTATCCCTTTCCTAAGTGAGACACTTTATCTGCTCAGAAAAGATTTTTCAGTGAAAATGAAAATCTTAATTTGAATGGCAGTTCTACCACGCTAACCATGTAAATGAGATGTCTCCTCTGTTATTTAAAGGGGTATGGAAAAGGCTTTATAAGTCCTGCTTTCAATACCTCCCTCCCTTTCTTCACAGTGATACAACTTAGACCAGAGGAAGAAAGATAAAGTGTTTGTCTGAGGGAAGTGGGTTATATCATGTTAGCTTAAAAATTGATGCTTTTTATTTTACAGAGAGATGTTCCTACACAAGCACAGCCCAATACATGAAAGCTTTCCCAAGAAACAAGGTAAGAGACAGGTGTTGCAAGGATCAGACATACTTGACCTGTAATAGCTTTGGCATCACTAACACATTGCTGTCATGATAAACTATGTAAGGATTGTATGAACTGAAGCTGACAGCCCAGAGACAATCTTCCTCTCCCACACTAGATTACATCTTGAAGCAAAATGTGTGTCTCCTCTGTGTGGCACCGAATTAGTCTCCCTCTAAGAGATGTCACACTCAAATACCAGGTAAATCATAGCACAAGTTTTCAATCAGCATTTTAGCTCAATGCATTTAAATGTCTTAAATGCTGGATGGCTCAACTTAAACGATTGTTTTCAAAGCACAGAAATTCCACTATGGACTGGAGATCAAGTAAAAAAAAACACAACAAAAAACAAACCCCCAAACTTTATACTTCCATGGTTTAGTTTTAATATTTACAAAAAGAAGTTACATTGATAGTATTCCCAGAAGCATAAAACCAAAACTCTAGAGGACCAGAAGCATGCTTACCTCATGAAATAGCAGATTTTTAATCTGAATTCATTGCAGTTCTCCCCATTGGCATCTCTATACGTATGCTAGTTAAAGAAAGCTTTGTGTGCCCGGATTCAGTAATATTGTTTTTATCTACAGAATACTCTGACACTGCACCAGCTGCATAAAAACCAGTATCAAACTTTTCTTCTAGAGGTAACCACAGTATGCTCTGATATTTCATTGACTTTCACGGCATCTTAGGGGACAAAGACCAATACCTGGCTGCCAATTTGTTTTTTGCACTAGCAAAAATGCCTCTATTACACCATTCTGAATATTCTGCTGAACAGTTTCTTGCCAGCTTTGGCTAACCAAACATGATAATACTTATGATTACTGAATTCTTTAAGAGGTATAAATGACATGTAGGTGCTTAGCTACCACTGAAAGTTCATAGTAGTCAAAGGCTAGCCTGCCGTGATACATTTGAAAAGTTACCTTGGCCACATACTTCCACTTATTCAAAGTTAATGCAAAGTATGCCCCAGTATGTTTGTACATATGGAAAAAATTCCACAAGCAGTAGCATAAAGAAGCTCACAGAATTCCATCTTTTAGGTTGAAAAAAAATTCACCTCTAAACCTTGGTTGTCACTAATTAATTGACACATTTTTACATGCAGTTACAGAAACAATCTGCTTTTGATATTGTAATGTCAATTTGCAAGACATTGTGAAAGGATATGTGGACAGAAGCTTGCCAGCCAGCTCTGTGGAAGGCAGATACCACCGGTGCATTAAAAGAAAGGTTCTTGGCAAATGGCTGGAGCACCGATTTCCTTTGTCATCTGCAAAAGAGAAACAATGAGTTAACCACACTATTAATGAACAGAGAGGAGCTTTTATTCTTCAAGCTGAGTCACATAGAAAGGATCAAAAGTGGAAATATTGGCTCATTATCTACCAAATAGGTAGGAAACAAAACCAAAGCACAAAACCCGCTCCTTTAGCAACAATATTGCTAGATTGCAGTGCTAGCTATTTAAAGGCAAAAAACCCCAAACCAGTGTAGATAACGGGCCATAGCTAAAAAAATGGGGCATGGACAGCACTATGCGAAACATTATACAAAAAGACTGCCAGTAATCCAAAGAACAAATCCAAAATTAGTCCACCAAAAGACTGGGAGATGATTTATGTACAACCATTGCCAATATTTGTTTTATTGCAGCTTTATGTTAACAATTGGATTGTTAAAAAAAGGTATCTGCCTCAAGGAATTCAATGTCAAAGCAACACCTCACATCTGTGCCCAGGGTTCCATCTCCAGCTGCCTTACTGACCCGTTTGCAATGTAGCTGCTGAGACTGCAGAAAGAGTTATTCCATGGCAGGCTGGCTGCCCATCAGTCTTCCTCAACATCTGCAATCTTAGATTATTCTCTATCTGTCACTCTTTTAAAAGACAGTAGACGATATGCATGTATGAAATGGGAATGACACATGGACTACACTTGTCAAGAGAGTGTGTATACAAGGAAGAGAGGCATGATTTCCAACAGACAACAAGTATATGAGCTCTGCTAATACTTTCATTAGGTCTTAGAACAACAGGTTTGATGGTGGTCTACAGAAATGGATATATGGGGATTCACTACAGTCAGTAGCAAGATCCGTCCGTCCCTCAATTATTTAATACTCTCTCACCTTTAGATACTTTTTTCTCTCCACAAGGGAAAAAAAATTAATACCTCATTCCAATCAAAAGCTGTCCTGCATTTCAAGAGAATCAAAATGTAGCTTTGTGAATTAAGGCCCCATTTCAAATCATTTAAGCCTACCCATGAACTCATCTGACTGCAATGTGACACATCATGATTAATGGTGTTATGGATCAAAGTCTATTTCATCACTTCTTTCCCTCAGACCTGGTACATCACATTTTAATAAAAGTAAAAAGATTACATGAGCCTTAAGTCATATTCTTGCCAATTATTGCATGATGATTTGGAAAACCTTTCCAAAAAATGACTGGTCAGAAATGCAGCTGTGTAACCACTCAAGACAAAGATCAATGCCAGAAATAACTCCTTGAGTAATTCAACTAAACACTTCTCTTGGTGAAGGCCAGCATTTTAAAAACCGCTATACCCACCATTTTGCATTATCTATATTAATAAAATTTAATACAGTATGCATGTGATTAAAATTCTGGCCTGTGTGATTCTGGGCCAAAATGAAACATGGAAAATTTTACAGAGCAGAAATGTTGTTTGCCAAGGGAAAAGACTGGCTAAATCAGAGAACAGCAGGGGTTATATTATAAGATGAATTTCAAGAACAGTAAAGTAAAATATTGAAAAAGCATACCAAACATTTCAATACAAGTGTTCAAAAGCTCATCTAATGTTGCAGCCTTCCCAAGTGTGTTTGACCCCATTGTCCTTTAAGCGTTGTCAAAAAATAAGAGACATTTTCACCATGTAGAAGGATGTTTCTTCAGTTGCTCAGTTTTTCACTTTATTGTTGGTTGCATTCTTAGCTGGACTTCAAGGAAAAATCTGAAGAAAGTAAAAGAAATCATAATCATTTGACTATTTGGAAGACTTACCAGGATGCAATGTTTACAGTTCAACTCATCTTTTCTATAAACTGTTTTTTCACCACACAATAAAGAGAATGTGAAAGACTGCTGTAAGCTTTCCCTACATTCCAGCTTGTGTCTTTAAGTGTTGTCTAATTGTTTGTCCACCAGCACAAAATAAATCTACAGCTAGGGTCATAAAACAGAAACCAGATGGTAAATGAGGATATGCATGTACAATGACGCACATTTTGTTCAGGTCATTTTATTTACACTTGATAAGTCACTTTTTGTTAATAACCCTGCTTTTATGTTTTTAAGCATAACCATTTTTTTCCCTAAGCTTACCAGTTCATAGTAATGCTAATGGTCTTAATTGGCACAGACCACATAAAATGTTTAATTAAGTTCATAGCAAACATTAAACTAGGAGGCAGTTTTTCAGAGAACCTTAAGATCAGTCCCTACAGCTTTGTTAAATAAATCTTCTCACAGTAGCTGAACACTCACAGAAAGCTGAACACATACAGAAACTTCTAAATTGTACCATACATCTACTATCCATTCAATTATCAAACATCCATTTACCTGAAGATGCACAAAACACCCTGTTACAAGCTTTCAGAAATAATTTTACAGGTTATATTTAAAGAACAGAAGAAATCAGTATTTTATTGTCTATCTATGACTAAGCCCCACTACTGCCTGACCATAACAAGTGTTTGAAATGTGACAAACAATAACAAAGTACATCCAGCAACTTTTCTAGGAAAAAAGCCAGGAGTAGAGCTACAACAATCCTTGAAGCAAAACAACGCAGGAATTTGGGAAATTTCTTTTCAGAAGTTGTTGCATGTAACATAACCTTTTAATGTTGGTCATGCAAAGCGCTGATGAACTATATGCCTGCTTTAATTCACCCACAAATACCGTGTTTTTCAAACCTACCACATCACAGACCTTGTACTGCACACTCAGTCCTGGTGGGACTGGCATCCTTCACCCTTTTTAGTAACCCACCCTGCCCCGCTCCCAAATGCCACTGTTACAATGAGCACCAGAGTGCTCTGAGCCAGGTCCCTGTGAGCTTGCAGCCCTTCAGACATCACCGTGGGCCAGCCACCCAAGGGACACCAAGCAGTGGCAGCTTTGCTGGCGCTACCTCAGCCATGGCGCAGGCAGGTATGCTCCTTTCTCAGCGAAATGCAAGGCCAATGTATCCTGACGCAACTCCCACTTCCTAGAAAGAGAAGAAAATGCTGTTTGTGCAGGCTAGGTCTGCACTACTGAACTGACCATGCCCACACTGGCTCCCAGGTGCAAAGGCCAGCTAGCAGAGGTTGGCCTGTTATCTACATCAGTGAAGTCTCTCAACCTCCCAAACAGAGTTGGCATGTGGAAGCTGCTCATTGCTGGCCTATGCTAACTCCCACCTGCACCTCAGATCCACTTAGGAGACCACTGACTGGTTAGGGACCTTCTAGCAGCAAGGCGCATTGCATCCCAGCACCTGGAAAAGTGTCCCGCACTGGATAATTCTCTATAGACCTGGCTTCAGAGTCCTGTGGTCCCCAGGCTGCTCTAAGCATACAGCAGTGTTTTGCTTGGAAGACCTTCAAAATGCACGGTTCAGCCAGAGATACTATTACTTTTAGATGGGTGCCTACAGCCAGGTTCTTTCCAGTCCCAGCCAACAAAGGATTTAGACATGACACACTTTTCCCTGAAGCTGAGAGAAGCCTGCAGGAAATAAGCACAGATCACTGAGTTTCTATATGTCAGTGCAGACACAATGCTGCAGCAGCCCAGGTCAGCCAACAGGAAACATGAGCAGAGAGATACAAGTGTGAGTCCTGCTCTGCCAGTGCCTTCCTCCTAGCTGGAAGAAAGCACTTTCCTCTGAGTTTGGTAGTGTAGAACCCCCTCTTGAAGGCACACACATCTGTTTTTCCAGGAGTCGAGCAGAGCTCCTATTTGCAACGAACTGGGGGAAAACTAGTACTTTCACACAACAGTAAGCAGTCAGAGCACTCACCTAAGAAAAAGGGGAAGGTGGGTACACAGTGGTCCGTGGCTTTGAACCCACGCTTGGCATTGTAGCAGAAGGCGTCCTAACAGTTAGGTCTGGGTCTAGGCTGGGTAGCCTCAACCCTTCCTGCTATAGCTGTGTCATCGCACAAAACCCGAAGCTGTCTGAAGTGGACCAGAGAGGTAACGTGGCTCTCTGACCTGCTGGTCAGGCCACACATGAGCCAGGGTCACCCCAGGTTCAGTCTTTCTTCCCAAGACTGTTTATGTATTTAAAGGAAAAAACCCCAAAAGTAGAGCATTTGCTTGATTTACTTGCTTTGAGAATTAGCCAGCAGCTGAGCAGTGTTTTTCAAGATCATGACTTTGTACTTTGGCACCTAACTTTTGCTAGAATCCCACTTTGGGCATGTTTGTCCTTTTTGACTACCCCAAAGTCCTTCCCTAAGTGCTTAAATTACTGGCTTGGTTTTTTACAGAGCCAGCTATCTAGTTCTTCCAACTTCATCTGACTTAGTATTTTTTTCAAGAGGAGAAAAATAAAATAAATTTTACACTGGCTATTTAAAAATATTTTTTAGTCAGCTCTTTAAAATATAGAATTGAGAAAAGCTATTGCATTTTCTGCCTATCCTTTGAAAACTGCTAAGCATGAAATGTAGGAGAGGAAGAGATTTGATCCACCTTTTCAGTTTTGTTAGTGTTACCATCCTCTATAATACATAGCATAGGAGAGTATCATTCCTACCTTCTGTTGGCAACAATTAAGGCAGCCATATAGCAATCAATAAATAATTCTCCATGTAAAATTGCATGATTTTTTTTAATTACATGACACTACTTAACCTGTAGATACCTAGATCCTGATGTTAGAGTACCATCCCCCCAGACAGCCTATCTGACCACTAAATGGTTTTATTCTCATAATGCTTCTAAAAGAAGAATAAAACATTTCCACTGGAGGAAGGAGTGGCTGGCTGGGGCTAAGCCACATATCCACAGCTGACCCAAAACCTGATATCACATCTCTTGACTGCAGACTCCAACAACCACAACCATTACATCATTAAGCACTGCTGTTCTACTAGAACAATAAATGTCTTGTCTATATCATGCTACAATGGTATCCAACCACACCAACACCTCTAGGGATGGATGAGTAAAATACAACTATGAATTTTGTCTACATAAATTCAATAAATTATATTTTGATAGTCAATGGCTCAACACATTAGAAGCACAAAAAATCATACATGTAATAATACATTTATATTATATATATACGTGTATAATAATGTGTATATAAAAATGTATCATATATGTATATAATACGCATATATAATACATGTAAAGAGTTTAAAACTTTGAAGGAAGTGGTTACAAAAAATTGATTGCCAAAGGTGCAGTTGGACTTCCAAATAAAGATAACCTAGAGAATCTCTGCCCCCAGGTGCTTCCTAATGTAACTCTGAGACATCTTATTGCCATCCAGCTGTTTCAGGATTCAGGAAAGCTGGATAAGAAAAACAGAGCTCACCCAATGAGATGACACAGTTAGTGAATGACTGCCTACTACACTGAAACTAAAAAAAAATATATTTTTGCCTTATAATGAAATTATAAATTCTATCGGGTTTACTGTGGTTAACAGAGGTCATTAAGGACACAGGAGGCACACAATCCTCCACAGCTATCCATTCTCATTTCTTAATCAGGTCACTTGAAATGACAGACTCCACTACGAGTGTTGCTGGGAACCTGCCACATGCTGGGAAGGGTCTTCAGGGCAATAGTCAGGAATGGGTGAAGGATGGTAGGAAAATGATCAATATAAGCCTTAGTGTTCCCTCAAAGCTTACAGCTTTGTCTAAAGCCCTTCATTTAGGTAATAGATACAACCATAATATTCCTATGAACCAAGTCATGGTATCAGGCATGTCATGCTTTATTTCATGACATTTTATCATTATGGGATGCACACTTCCTACTTAGGGGAAAAGCAGAAACATCTGCAGTGATGTGCCCAGAGGTAAGAAGTCCCTGATGGACTGAACTACAGGACACAGAGTCCCTTCCAAGTCTTGCTTTCACTCTGACAGCCACATGCACACAGTTACTTTAAGCAGATGGCTTTCCTTAGCACTCTCATGCAGTGTAATTGCATTTTGTGTTCAACATTTTGGGAGTCTTGAGATGGCGCTGTTGTGGACTGTCTTGATAGATGTATTTAAAACCAGTGTGTAAGCTGTGAGCTCCTGAGATAGATGTGGTCAGGTGTAATACATTAGATTTTAAAAGAAACTGGATACCCTGCCAGTAAACTTGTGGTCTTATGCAAAAGAATAAAATGGTGAGAACAGAGTGAGGCAGCATGCAGTCAAGTTTTCAGTGTTGGCTACCGTCGCTAGTAAAACCAAAAGACATCATTTTTACTGCTGGAGGCTACTAAGGGGAGGTCCACACCTACAAGTTACAGCAGTTTAACTAATATTAAAATGTCAAGGCAGCACAAATCCCTGTGTGTGCACTTTCACATGGATTTCAAGCAAGTTATATTGGTTACAGGTGCAAGCTAAACTAATAAGTTGGGTTTAAATAGGATTAAATTTGACATACAGAGTAATATTTATTTAGCTAAATGAAATTTAAACAGCTTTTTAGCTAAGCCAAAGTAAATGTACGTGTAGCATTTTACCCATTAATTAAAAGTGGGCTATTTTGCTTCTACTTAGGGACAATAAATAGAGTCACATGCAAACAGCTCAACTTTGACACACATGCACCTCTATGGGTCTCAGTTTATCCATAAACTTTCCAGAGGCCTGCAC